AGTGCGGCCCGCTGCTGGAGCACTTCGCCGGCAGCCAGGAGGCGCGCGCCGAGGAAGGCCAGCCACAACTGGGGGAGCTGTGGTCCTTACCCCCCTGGGGGACCCATCGATTTCGACACCCCTCTCGAGAGATCGTCGATGCGATGGGTTCCCCCAGGGGGGTAAGGACCACAGCTCCCCCAGCTATGGCTGGTCGGCGAGGAGCTGGAGCGGCTGCTGCAGGCGCGGCAGACGCTGCAGGGCATGCGGGAGAGCGCCGGGGCCGTTGGCCTGCTGGCGCGCCGGGCCGCCGTCGCGGTGCGGGCGCGCGCCTCGTAAAGGGCCGTGGCGCGCCTGCGTGCCGGCAGCGAGAGTCAAAGAGCCGCGCGGGGCGCGCGCGCGCGCCTCCTGCCGGCGCGCGGGCTGCGCCACGACGGCGAGGCCTGGCCTGGGAGGCGAGCAGGGGGTCGACTACAGAATCGATGTGCACCATAAGTGAAACTGTCGTCGGATCTGAAGAAGGTACGCAGGTTCTCCGCAGATCCAGTAAACGGTTCTAGGTATTTGCTTGCAGATTTCGACGAGCAAATGACTGCTGGATGATATCACTTCGGTGCGGTCAGCCCGCATAGTAAGGACGGGCAACCTTCCCAAGGGTACCCTTGCATCCTTACCCCTTCGGCCCATCCACAGCGACCCTTGCTGGCCAGCCTGGTTCGACAAAAAACGCAAACGCGGCCCTCCATGGCCCTTGCATCCTAAACGCGCATCCTTATGGTATGCTTAGGTCGGGCCTGTCCCCCTACAGGGGGATGATTGGCGAAACAATGCACATACATTCAAACCATTCGCCAAACATGCTCAAGAATAGTCAAACACATCGTCCCCATATTGTTTCCCGGCGGAGCCGGGTGAAATTCCGTGCCCGCCGGCTGACTGATGACTGACTGAACGTCAGGGGACGGCTCGGGAGACACATTTCAAACCGCCCGCGGGAGCGCAACCAGGCGGCGGCAACCGCAACCCAACCGGGCGACACATTTCAAAGCGCCCGCGGGAGCGCGCAACCGCAACCGCAACCGCAACCGGGCGACACATTTCAAAGCGCCCGCGGGAGCGTGCAACCGCAACCGCAACCCGGCGACACATTTCAAAGCGCCCGCGGGAGCGCGCAACCGCAACCGCAACCGCAACCGGGCGACACATTTCAAAGCGCCCGCGGGCGCGCAACCGCAACCGCAACCGGGCGACACATTTCAAAGCGCCCGCGGGAGCGCGCAACCGCAACCGCAACCCGGCGACACATTTCAAAGCGCCCGCGGGAGCGCGCAACCGCAACCGCAACCGCAACCGGGCGACACATTTCAAAGCGCCCGCGGGAGCGCGCAACCGCAACCGCAACCCGGCGACACATTTCAAAGCGCCCGCGGGAGCGCGCAACCGCAACCGCAACCGGGCGACACATTTCAAAGCGCCCGCGGGAGCGCGCAACCGCAACCGCAACCGGGCGACACATTTCAAAGCGCCCGCGGGCGCAACCGCAACCGCGACCGCAACCGGGCGACGCATTTCAAAGCGCCCGCGGGCGCAACCGCAACCGCAACCGGGCGACACATTCAAAGCGCGCGCGGTAGGCCGCAAAACCGCACCGGGCGACACATTTCAAAGCGCCCGCGGGCGGCGCAACCGCAACCGCGGGCGACACATTCAAAGCGCCGCAACCGCCAACCGGCGGGCGACACATTCAAAGCGCCCGCGGGGCGCAACCGCAACCCCGCGACACATTTCAAAGCGCCCGCGGGAGCGCGCAACCGCAACCGCAACCGCAACCGGGCGACACATTTCAAAGCGCCCGCGGGCGCAACCGCAACCGCGACCGCAACCGGGCGACACATCTCAAAGCGCCCGCGGGCTCGCAACCGCAACCGCAACCGGGCGACACATTTCGAAGCGCCCGCGGGCTCGCAACCGCAACCTCAACCGGGCGACACATTTCAAAGCGCCCGCGGGAGCGCGCAACCGCAACCGCAACCGGGCGACACATTTCAAAGCGCCCGCGGGAGTGCGCAACCGCAACCGCAACGGCAAGTGGGCGACACATTTCAAAGCGCCCGCGGGAGCGCGCAACCGCAACCGCAACCGCAACCGGGCGACACATTTCAAAGCGCCCGCGGGAGGGCGCACCCGCAGGGTTTCAAGGGGGTCGATTGCGCGTGCACTTGTGCGTAAGCTGCCCGCGGAAGGTGGCGCGTAGGCGCCTTAATGCGGTCTGCCGCGCGAGCGGCTTGCGTGATCCACCGCGCAAGGTCGTCGCGCAATCGAGTGCAACCCCCCTTCTGATCGTTTCTCCCTGGGGGGTCAGGCGAGTGGAATTGCCTCAGCCACGTCTCGGCCACGCTCGTGGGACTGCCCCCCGCAGGGTTTCAAGGGGGTCGATTGCGCGGGCACTCGCGCGCATGCCGCCCTCGTAAGTTCGCGCGTCTGCCGCGCGAGCGGCCTGCGTGAGCCACCGCGCAAGGTCGTCGCGCATTCGAGTGCAACCCCCCTTCTGATCGTTTCTCCCGGGGGGGTTCAGGCGAGTGGAGTTGCCTCAGCCACATTTCGGCCACGCTCGTGGGACTGCCCCCCGCAGGGTTTCAAGGGGGTCGATTGGGGGCGGGGGACGACAAGGAGAAGAAGGAGGAGCCACTGGTGGAGGGCCCGACGACGAGCCCCCGCGTGGCCCGCGGTTCTCCGCCGGGACATTGCAGCGGGGAATCCCTATTCCACGCTGCTGCCCTTGATTTTTACCTAACAGCTTTTGCTGATAGGTTTCTAGTGGGATCAAACGAGAGCATCTTGACGCCCCAGGGGGGTCTGGGCTGGATCCGGACAGATCTGGACAGATCCGGACAGATCCGGACAGGTCCAGGAATCCTTAGGAATCCTTTGGAATTCTTAGGAATCCTTAGGAATTCTTCGTGTTCCCAGAAAACCATTCCCAGGTCACATTTTGAACGCCCGGAGCCAACTGTAGGCCACTTCGTGTTCTTCGTGTTCCCAGAACACCATTCCCAGGCCACATTTTGAACGCCCGGGGCCAACTGTAGGCCACTTCGTGTTCTTCGTGTTCCCGGAACACCATTCCCAGGCCACATTTTGAATGCCCGGAGCCAACAGTAGGCCACTTCGTGTTCTTCGTGTTCCCAGAACACCATTCCCAGGCCACATTTTGAACGCCCGGAGCCAACTGTAGGCCACTTCGTGTTCTTCGTGTTCCCGGAACATCATTCCTGTACCATCTTTTGATTGCCCTGAGCCACCTGTGGGCCACTTCGTAATTTTCGTGTTCGCATAACACCAGTCCTGTGCCATATTTTGAATGCCCGAGCTGAGGCAGGCTGAGGCCGAGGCAGGCTGAGGCCGAGGCAGGCTGAGGCCGAGGCAGGCTGAGGCTGAGGCTGAGGCTGAAGCTGAGGCAGGCTGAGGCTGAGGCTGAGGCTGTGGCTGAGGCTGTGGCAGGCTGAGGCTGAGGCTGACGCAGGCTGAGGCCGAGGCAGGCTGAAGTTGAGGCTGAGGCAGGCTGAGGCCGAGGCAGGCTGAGACTGAGGCTGAGGCAGGCTGAGGCTGAGGCTGAGGCTGAGGCAGGCTGAGGCTGAGAGGCTGAGACTGAGGCTGAGGCAGGCTGAGGCTGAGGCTGAGGCAAGCCGAGGCAGGCTGAGGCTGAGGCTGAAGCTGAGGCAGGCTGAGGCTGAGGCTGAGGCTGTGGCTGAGGCCGAGGCAAGCTGCGGCCGAGGCAGGCCGAGGCTGAGGCTGATGCAGGCTGATGCAGGCTGAGGCTGAGGCAGGCTGAGGCTGAGGCTGAGGCAGGCTGAGGCTGAGGCTGAGGCTGAGGCTGAGGCCAAGGCAGGCTGAGGCTGAGGCCGAGGCAAGCCGAGGCAGGCTGAGGCTGAGGCTGAGGCTGAGGCAGGCTGAGGCTGAGACAGGCTGAGGCTGAGGCTGAGGCTGAGGCAGGTTGAGGCTGAGGCAGGCTGAGGCTGAGGCCGAGGCAGGCTCAGGAGGCTGAGGCAGGCTGAGGCTGAGGCAGGCTGAGGCAGGCTGAGACTGAGGCTGAGGCAGGCTGAGGCTGAGGCTGAGGCTGATGCAGGCTGAGGCTGAGAGGCTGACGCTGAGGCTGAGACAGGCTGAGGCTGAGGCTGAGGCTGAGGCAGGCTGAGGCTGAGGCTGAGGCAAGCCGAGGCAGGCTGAGGCTGAGGCTGAAGCTGAGGCAGGCTGAGGCTGAGGCTGAGGCAGTGGCACAATGGGTGCACTCCTGGAGGCTGAGGCTGAGGCCGAGGCAGGCTGAGGCTGAGGCTGAGGCAAGCCGAGGCAGGCTGAGGCTGAGGCTGAAGCTGAGGCAGGCTGAGGCTGAGGCTGAGGCTGTGGCTGAGGCCGAGGCAAGCTGCGGCTGATGCAGGCTGAGGCTGAGGCTGATGCAGGCTGAGGCTGAGGCAGGCTGAGGCTGAGGCTGAGGCAGGCTGAGGCTGAGGCTGTGGCCGAGGCAAGCCGAGGCAGGCTGAGGCTGAGGCTGAGGCTGATGCTGAGGCTGATGCTGAGGCAGGCTGAGGCTGAGACAGGCTGAGGCTGAGGCTGATGCAGGCTGAGGCTGAGGCAGGCTGAGGCTGAGGCTGAGGCAGGCGAATCCTTTGGAATCCTTAGGATTCCACAGGAATCCTTAGGAATCCCTAGGAATCCCTAGGAATCAGGATTCCTAAGCATTCCTAAGGTTTCCTAAGGATTCCTATGGATTCCTAAGGATGCCTAAGGATGCCTTAGGAATCCCTAGGAATCCTTAGGATTCCATTGGATCCTAAGGCCGTTGCCACTGCGACTGTCATTGCGAATGCGACTGCGACTGCGAGAGCAGCAGAATTCTACAACTGGATTATCACCTGAATCTCAAGGGGACTGCTTCCAGATATGCTTATCCACATCGCTGTCAGGTTGCTTCGCCGGGATCTGTTCTTCGACTGTTTGTAAGAGCGTCCCCCACTGTAGAGGGA